AGGAAACTCGCCACCGAGGAGCTGAGGGTCGTCACCATGCAGGTACGGCCCGGCCCGGCCCGCGCCTCGCCTGGTTTTCCCTCCCTCCTTCCTTCCCTCCCTCCCTTCTCAGCACGCTCTTCCCGGTTCCTGCCTTGCCCTTTCTCTCTCTCTCCATTCCTTTCTTTCTTTCTTCCCCCTCCTTCCCTCGGTTCTTTTCTTCTTCGCAAACTTTCCCTCCCCCCTGCGCGGGCTGCCCCTCTCCCTCAGCCCCGAGCTCCCCTCAGCCCCGGGCTCCCCTCAGCCCCGGGCTCCCCTCATTCCCCGGCTCCCCTCATTTCCCGGCTCCCCTCAGCCCCGGCTCTCCCCGGCCCCGGGCTCCCCTCAGCCCCGGGCTCCCCTCAGCCCCGAGCTCCCCTCAGCCCCGGCTCCCCTCAGCCCGGGCTCTCCTCGGCCCCGGGCTCCCCTCAGCCCCGGTTCTCCTCGGCCCCGCTTCTCCCTGGCTCCGCTTCCCTCATTCCCGGCTCCCCTTAGCCCCGTCTTCCCCCGGCCCCATTCCGTCAGCCCTGGTTTCCCCCGGCTCCACTCCCTCATTCCCGGCTCCCTCATCCCCGGCTCTCCCCGGCCCCTCTCCCCTCATCCCCGGCTCTCCCCGGCCCCTCTCCCCTCATCCCCGGCTCTCCCCGGCCTCTCTTCCCCCGCAGAGCCGCCCGCCCGGAGGGGAGCGGGGCCGTAGCGGCCGAGCGCGGGCAGGCTCCTGTTTTATTTGCAATTTACACAATAGAAGCGGCCAAAACCGCTCCCGCAGCCGCGAGGGGTCCGAGCCCGGGCTCGGGGCTGAGCTCGCCGTGCTCAGGGGCCGCTCCGGGCTGGAGCCGCGGGGATCGGGGGGAAGCGATGCTTCCCGGCCCGGGAAGTTTATTCAGATGCCGGATTCACGCTTGTGGAAGGTTATTCCAGTTGCCGGGAGTTGTGTGTCGTTCTCGGGGTGTTCTGCGGGGGGCTGGTGGGGTTTGCAGGGAGCGCTGGTACCTGCGCTGCCGCCGGCGGCTGCCGACCCTCTCCGGGGGGGGGAAAAAGTGAAATCGGATCCCAGGCGGCTTTCAGGGGAAGGTATGGTCAGTAGCAAATGCAGTTTTAAAAGCCTCCCAAACTGAAAAGGAGACACTTTCATAGGATCAGCGGGGGTCTCTACCCAAATGGCCTTTTATCTTCTCTAAACTGGCTGCATTCTCTCACCTCTGGACTATCATTGTGCTGGGCGGCCTCCTAGGGCTCGTTTTGTCCGGGCAAACACTGAGCTGTCTCTTGTCCTTGATGCTAAGAAGACGCGGATTTAAATGACTTCACTTAACAAGGTACATTATTGATGTACTGAATTCAAGGAAGTCACTTTTTTTTTTYCTCCTTCTGCCGTGCATACGCATGTATGTATTTCCCCTCAAAAGATATCAGCATAATCCTTTTCTTTGGTGGAGTCTCTGTTAATGCAAATTAAGTCAGTGTAATTGCATTGCTAAATCCGTTTCTGGCGTTAATAAAAATTATAATACGATCACCTCGAGAGGTCTTGTGTTAAAAAAAAACCCAGCTCATAAAAATATACATTGTTACCAGAATTAACCATAGGTTGAGCCAGGTTTTCTTTTCAAGAATTGTATCGATGATCCAAGCTCGGGAATGATCTGGATGCCAGTGCACGGGGATACAAATAATGTTAAAACTCTGTTTACTATTAGTTGGATATTTCAGGCCCCAGAGTAATTTAATGTGGTGAARCTGGTAGTTAAACTGAAACCTMTTTKCATAATGAGCTCTATTTTTATATGYTTCATATTTTGGCTGTCTCAACTCCCATCACGCTAATGCCCAGCCTGTCCTTTGCTCCCCCCTGGAACATTATTACAGCTGTTTAAGATTAAAAACCRGTGGGAACAAAACCTCCCCTGATTTTAGAAGCTTCTCTGCTGACCTCCTACTGTAGAACAAAAAATGTTATGACATGTGTCACTGCAGCCTGTGCTTCTTACTTGGTTTTTGGGCTGAAATTTCCAAAGCCTGCTCAGGCAGGGCCGGGTGTAGCTGGGACAGAATTCCCTTTTTCCCTCTTGTTCRGTGCTGTTGGTGAGTGCTGGTGGCTCAGTGGGCAGCCGGGTGCTTGGGACGATGCAAACAGGTTGTGCCCGGCAGAAAAGAGAGGTGTGGGATTTTGGAAGCAGAGTGAGAACGCTTTTATGCTTTATTCAGATGTAAATCCGAGGGTGTTGTCCTGCTTTCGAGGGTGACATGGAAGCARGGCCCCAAATCAGGACTAGCGAGGGGAAGCTGTGGTAGCAGGAGGAAGGGTTGATACCCAGCCATTAGTGAGCTGCGGTTTTATTTCATTTCACAAACCATAGAGGAGGAAGTGGCAGGATTTAATGTTTCCCTTGCTCTGGTCTTTGCCAGCTGTGGCTCCCACATCTGCACATGGTAACAGGCAGGAGTTGCTGTCACCAGAGGGCTTTGCAGGAAGGGTAGCACTGAGCTGGAGGTGGGGAGGAAGCATCCCATCCAATGAGTGCAGGAGCAGGTGGAAATGATTCAAGAGAGTGAAGGTGAGGGGTTGGTTRGGCTGTGTTTGGAGTCTGGGAAAAGAGGAAAATGTAGATGGAGCCTCCTGGAGTGCAGGAAAGGCAGGATGAGGTGGAGTCTCCAGAGTGGACACTCGAGGAGTGAGTGGAAGAGGTAAGAGGAGAACCACGGAATTTGGGAGCCTTAAATTCCTGTGAGAAGGGGAAGAGGATAATGAATATGGGAGTTATGGGATAGGAAATAAATCTGATTTCAGTGGGAGCAGCCGTCAGTGCTTGAAAGGAGCTCCGTCTCCTCCGCGGCGTCTCCTTCCTGAGAATCGCTCTCCTTCTACCTGTGCTACCTGTGCTCCGTGGCGTTGGCCCAGCAGCAGTGAGGACTGAGTGTTTCTGATAAAATCCCATTATTCTGCACTGTTGAGAGGGGTGAGGCAGAGCTGGAATGGAGGCTGAAGCTGCAGGCAGACCGAGGGTGAGAGAGGTTTCTGGTGGCAGCATCAGTGTGACAGTTGATTCTGACACTCACACCAGTGCTTTCTATTTACAGATCCTTGCAGGAGGGCACTGTCTGCCTGTTACCTTTGGGCAGTGCTTTGTTTCCTCACCCATGCAAGCGCTCTGATTTCATTTAYAAATTTATTCCTTCCATGGTGCTGTGAAGAGCAGCTGAGGATCATGTAGTGTAGGTGACAACTCGTGAGTTGCATCATTTGCTGAGCATGTTGAACAGCAGTTTAATAGTTTCTTATTTAAATTTCCAATTGGAATTTACATATTTGTACCATACCAGGGATTCCCTCAGTGAGAACACGTGTTGGGCTCTGCAGTGTGGGTGGGTTCCTCCGTGTCTGTGTGTTACCATCCCGTGTGTTATTTCTCCAGGAGGGGCTAAATATAGAAAGTTGATCAGTTGTGTGATTTTTCTCTGTTGTTGTGATCACTTATTGTTCCCCCTGTGTTTGACAGTTCTGCCAAACCCTCAGTTAATGACATTTCTGTGTGTTAATGACAATGTTGTGTGTATTCCCTGTCACATATTGGGACATGGCTGGGTGTACATACACTTCCTCACACGGATTTTTGCCCTGAGCAGCCAGGGTGATCTGTTTATGGTTGTGCCCAACGCGATTTCCCAAATCAACCAAAAACAGCCTCACCACAATCTCTTCCCTCTCCCTCCTGCGGGACAGAGGGTGCTGGAAAAGCCATTGGATTGTGGATTGYGCTGCACCTACAGTCACCTGTAACAATTCCTGTGTTTCTTCTGTGGCCAGAGCACACATTGACAGCTCCCCTGGCTTTCAGGGAGCTCCTCCTGGCAGCAGGGGAGGAGTGTGCRATCCCAGCTCCTCTTGCCACGCTGTGTTCCTTGTCATTCCTCAGCAGCTGCATCCCAAATAACCCAAGGCATGGCTTGCCAAGGGCTGGAGCTGCTCAATGAGTAGCTTGTGTGACAGTCCTGTAATATATTCTCCCRGGCAGAGCTGACACTCTGCACTAATTAAAAGTTAAGAGTCCTTTTATACTAAAATTATAACTAAATTGGTGGTTGTGGCATGATGTGATCTGCGGGTGGAGTTTCTTACCTGGCTCRTCTGCTCCTGGCTTCTCTGACCTGGCTGAAATTACAGGGTAAGTTCTTGGTTGAAACAGCTGAAATTSTTTAGCTGGGACGTGAAGGCAGGAAAAGAATAAATCAGAACTTTTGTGAGGGTTTTGTTTTGTTTTGTTTTGGAGAGGTTTGACCCTGTAAATCTGYTCAGGGTGCCCAAGGTGAGGACTATTTTCGACAGTGTGGGGCAAGGTAACGTTTCCATCTCCAAAACAGGGATATAAYACTTGCAGCCAGAACTGAAAGGAATAAGAAATGCTTTGAAGATGAAAAGCATTGAATGCCTCTRTAATTCCCAAAATACATGCTGATGTTTCCAGCCAGATTAGTAACAAAAGTTGTAGGCCCAGAGGGCCCCGAAAATTTCTGAAGGCAGCTCTGCCATCTTAATCCTTTCCTCTTAATTCTGTGAAGGAAGCACAGCCCTTTCTCATTGTCTGTCACTGATCTTGCAGACTGGAATAAAAAAAAATGCATTTTGAATCTGAAAAAAACCAGTTTTCTGGTCATGTTTTTCCTGTTTATTTTTAATATTAATACTGTACATARTATAATATATTAATACATCAGGTGACGCAGTGATGTGTAAAATAACAAACAGCTTAGTACAGGCTTCTCCTGGYGGATTGGCAAGCATRTTATTTATTTATTTATCTTCCTAATAGCTTGTCTGGCCATATGTTTTTTAACAAGAACAGATTGTGCTCAGACAAGCACGACACAGAGATAGAGAGATGTCCAGGGGTTTAGATGGGCCGAAAAATCCACATTCTTTTAGGATTTCTGAGCGATGGCAAAGAGTTGGAGTCGCCAGAACTGTCCATTTATTTAATCCCTTTGAAAATGAGCACTGACAGAATGCAGCATTATTTATTTTT